GATAAATAATTCGTTCTTATTGCGAAATAGGAGCACTATTTATCAATCTGTAATAAAAGACGTGAGGAAATTCTGTCTTTTTTAAAGACAAAAATACCCAAAAAGAAGTTTGTAAAGAAAAATATCCGCACACTAAACGGCAAAAATCGACTTTGCTTTTGTCTTTAAAAAGTTGGAATCCGCCGGGTTCTGTACACTCAAAAGTACGCTGAAGCGCACTCCAGAAACACAACTTGATCCTTCAGAATGTAATTTGGAGTAAAAAACGACTCTGTGCCGCCTTATTTATCCCAGCAAAATAAAGTTTCCTGTAATATAGGGTTCCCCTGCACGGTACGCGCTCTTTCGCTGTGCGTCCTTTTTTTGTCAGCAGAACGGGGTTTCCTTAAACGATACGCGCACTCCCGCTGTGCACGCAATTTTTTTATCAGCAGAATGTGGTTCCCCTGTAACTGGGGTTTCCCTACACGACAAGGGATTTTTCGAAATCTTTCTACTGGCTATTTCGTCGTTCTTTGAATTTTTGTTCCTTATTTTATTATCCAGCGTTTAATCAGAAAGTTATTTGTATTTTTAAAACTTTCATAGGAAAACAACTGAAATATCACGTGTTTCAAAAAAGAAATAAACCTTTTCCTCCAAGAAAACCATTTGCAGTAAAATTTAGTACTCCAGACTAGCGATTGTAGCACAATTCTAAAGGAATATAATTCGATTAATACAGTATAATAGTAATTACAAGTACAAACGTGTGTAAATAAAAATTATCATAAATATAACACAGGTCAAGAGTCGCTAGTGCTAATCAGAACTGAATGCTAGTACGGAAAGATTATTGTTTTGAATTCCGAAAATATAGTGAAAGTATCGCGTAGCATAACAAAAAAGACAATTTCAGTGTACTGAATGTAGAACTACGAAGAAACGAAATATTTGATGGCTGAATTGTTGTATTTTATCCGAAGCATTAAGTGCCAGTGCCACCATACCGAGATTTTAGTAAACAAATGAAAAATCATTTTAATCACAATTTCTTATCACGAATACACACTTATCAGTAAAACGTTACATAGTGACTGATACGTAAATACATAGTATACATCTACAAGAAGTGTTTTAAATTAGTGGTTTAGTTTAAAAAATCCGTAATTGTTACCGAAACTAGTGCGGAAATTGATTGATAGTTCTTCCAGCTTTTGGACACTGATGTTCTCTGGATATAGACACACAGGATTTTATTAAGATGGTAAGTTATGGCTAGATATATCTACGAAGGTGTGAGTGGCTGCGCTAAGATGGACTCTTTCATTAGCAGTGGATTGTAGCCTACATTATAAATAATTATGCTACTCCTATCGCACTTACTTAAAAAATGTCCATCTAAATTTATTACAAAATTAGGGACATATAACCTCAACCCGTAATCTGATGCTACTACAGTTTAGTTTCAATAAGGTATTTGCTTAAATTGTGTATAATGGACCATAGTATAGATCAGACCAAGATTTTTAATTGCCTACTTTAATTATTTTAGTCGACTTAACAACGACTTTGGGAAAACTCTCCGCAAAAGCCATCAACGTGCCCATCAGCATTTCCACTATTCATGAGAACCAATAGAATTATTCGAAAATTTAATTAAAAATCTAAAACAGGGTTTCCCACACTTTGAATAATTGAACACTTTATGCAATCCCAGAAATTTTAACCGAACACTTTATTTTATTTTATTTTATTTAAGCTTATTTCTAATGAATGAATACATTCTTATTTCTAGTGACCTTTTTCGACATTTGCATTAGTGAACGCAAAACGCAAAATCAACATTTTCATCATATCGATATGCTCTTTTCAGTATACAAATGAAGAGTTTTTCGTCCCATAATTAATAACTTTGAAGGGGATTGAACGCCAAGAAAATTCCCTTTCAAACTTTTCAGTATAATTCAGTAAATTTACTACTCTTTAAAAGGACTCTTACTCTTAATAATCACTACAAATTACAAACAATTCATAGTAATGATTTCATTGACCTCACTTTATGTAAACTATAAGTTCATTGAAAAGAAACAATAGTCATTTAATAAATAGTGCATATATATTAATAATATCATATTGAATTTTAAAGCAAATCTCCATGGGTAAAACGGTCTTCGATTTGATACAGAAAAGTTCAACGATATTTGTTCTAAAGATTATCTTCGTCGTCGTTTAGGCTTGTGTGGCTCATCATAAGTTAATTACCAATTAGTTTGAACATAATGTTTGAAGACGAGTTGTGTCGGAAAAGTAACAGAAGAACACGCAGAGAAAGAACAAAAAGAAGAGAAAGATATTTGTTATCTAGTGCGAATAAAAACAAAAGTGGCGGGTTATCGTCTGAGGATGCTTCATCCTCCTCAGATTCTCTGCAGGATTCAGTAGAAAACAATAATTCCTCCCGATGGTATCAATCAAGATTTCACGACATGGGAAATAATTTATTGGTAGATATACTTTCCTTATTTAATATCTATTGCCTAACAGTGATTGGGACTATAGTGTGCCAGAGTTAAACATAAATTAAACAGCGGAAAAGGAAAGAAGAGAAGTAATACAGTGTAGTAATAACCAGCTAGCAAACATTTCAAAACAGCCGCATAATCTTATTAAGTAAGGTAACACGATATATAGTTGCCGTTCTCCCTATTAGGTGTCTCCAGGAAAATTCTTTAAAATTCCCGATATCATGCGGAGTAGCAACTAAACCTGTGAGTTAGTACTAAATAATGTCGACCTTCAACAGTATCCTCCCTAAACAAGTAAACTGCCTACTTCGCGATTTTCCTTTCTTTGAGGAATTAATATCTAGATGTTACACCAGGTTTATTAGCAGCTAGCGAAGCCTCCCTAATAAAATTCATCCCCACTATACCGAACTAATTACCTTAATATTATAATGTTACTTGAAACCTAAAGTAATTCAGTTCCCCATGAGCAAGGCGATCCCCACAAGTCCGTAATGCCGTAGAACTAAAATGAAAAACGAAAGCGAATCGCCCGAGAAGAACTTAGAAGAAGGGACGTCGCTGAGCAAACGCGCTAAGAAGATTCTGATACCTCCAAATTCACCAAAAAGTGTTAAAACGAAACGGGCGAATTTTCTAATCAGGAAATTGAAGTTGAAATCAAAAAGTGTACCTGTTAGAGCTGAGTTGGCAGAAATTGCTCAACCTTCTCAAAGCAGCTCGCCCCAACCAGCTGAAAGACAAACTCCAGAAGGGGACGAAAATTTTCGATTGGCAAAGGCTGCATCTGAGACGAATCTACAGGACTCTTGGAAAAGTTCGGAAACCATTGAGAAGGACATAACTTCTGCTACATCATTTACCAAAAGCGAAATCAGTGTTGATTACTCGGAGTTCTACGTCAGTTCGGAGCCGAGAAAAAGTATTCTAGAACGCGCTAAATCGCTGGAGAATTTGAGGAAAATGCCTGCCTATGGAGAACTTATTTTGGATTCGGCCGCTCTTGTGGTAAATAAATGTTAGGAACCTGTAAGCGAGTTGCAATTAGTACCTTTGCCCCCGATAAAATTTAGGAATTATAATCAATTTAAATTGACCCTGAAGAACGAAAATGTACGTATTTCATGGCACCAAGTTCTTTTTACAACCAGTGGCAATTGCTTTTTTACTGTAGGCGCTTCACCATTATCTTATCGTATGTTCAAATGTAAACACTAATTATATTTAATCATAAACTAAGTTAAATACTAAATGAAGAAGCTACTGAATTAACAGCTTAGCGATATAGACGGTTCTTGAAAACAGTTCGTTAAATAAATAATTACTGGTTCGTTGATGGATAACGCACTTTTTCAAAAGATAGAAATAACAGTCCTGCAGATGAATCAACAAACGTATTTTGATAGATTAAGTTTTGTTTCTCAATTAAATGTTGAAAATATGAATGCGCCACCTGAAATATAAATTTAGCCTTGCGTGTGATAAACATAAAACTCATGTTTTCCGACTTGGGCCTAATTAAATACACTTATTTATGCGAGATAAAGTTACTTTTATGTAATATTGCTACTAAATTTGAATATTTGTGCTTATGACACCTTCGTAGCCAATGTTTACAGAATATAATATTTATACAAACTTTGGTACAGTCGTAAAGACAATCACGGAGAGCGAGATAAGTTGTTTGATTATTACCAGTATACTTCTAAGCTAAGGTTATCGTTGTAAATGCGACAGGAAAAATAGCGCCAATTACTCGCTTCCTGCAGACACAACTTAGTTATGTTGCTCAATATATTTGTAGATAATCTGTTATTGAGCATGATGTGGACAAACAAAATTAAAGCATGTTATGCGCAAACCACGAGAATGCAAAAGAAATCTAGGAAATCTGGTTGCATCTATTACTCTGTGAAACTATATCCCTATATGAAGGTTCCGTAAATTGATAGTGTAGTATTTGTTTCGTAAGAAATGTGTAGGTAGCACGAAATCAATACTCCAACTACTCAACTATAAATGAAATCTATTTAGGAAGTTGTAGGTTGATCCCTCTTAAGAATTTCCGGACTGATCGATCAAGCACTCTTAATATTTTTTCTTTTATTGAAGAATTTTTGCATTTTGACATAGAATTCGTAGTGCTAAACTGCCTGTGAATGTACCAAATGTAACATTTCATTTAGAGTGACATAGTTTGAGGTAATTTGTAAAACTGTTGAAAAATGATACTTAGACAAACATGCTGCAACTGTAGACCATGCTGCCGGAAGGTATAAAAAGTTACCACTGATCGATGTGATGGGATGATTTCTAATAATTTGAATGCTAAACGATATTGTTTTTTCCAGTCCAATGCAAATGCGAACAAACCTAAAGACCATTTGTATAAGATTCTGGTTATTGGAGACCTCGGAACTGGAAAAACCTCCATAATTAAGCGATATGTGAATAGGTTTTTCACCCAGCATTACCGTGCAACTATTGGTGTGGATTTCGCATTGAAAGTGCTAAAATGGGACGAGAATACGCTTATACGGCTTCAGCTATGGGATATCGCCGGTAAGTTTACATGCAAGATCTAAAATTACTTTCGCAATAAGCATATTAGAGACTATTATAATAATAACAAGATAGGAGCTGGTTTCGCCTTACAATAGATTTTCTTCGAAAAACTAATGTGTATAAACAATATGCTGTATAATGATGAAAGGATGTGAGAAGCTGCATTGAAAAGGCAAATTTAGTGAAAGTACCAGTCAGTCAATCGGATCGCTTCTTCTATCATTTAATTAATTTGGAACTGGAAGAATGAAAGCAATGAAAATATACGTGGATTCTAGGGCAAGAAAGGTACGGTAACATGACAAGGGTCTACTACAAAGAGGCAGTAGGAGCGTTTATAGTATTTGATGTCACTAGAAGAAATACATTTGAATCCGTAGCTAACTGGAAAACAGATCTGGACTCTAAAGTGCAACTTCCTGATGGTTCCCCTTTACCTTGCGTCTTACTAGCGAATAAAGTAAGTTGGAAACACCATTAATTTATTTACAAAATACAAGTGCAATTTTGGCGCTTTACAGTGTGATCAGCAAAAAGAAGGATTGGTAACAAACCCAGCCAAAATGGATGAATATTGTCGCGAAAATAACTTTGCTGCATGGTTCGAAACATCAGCAAAAGATAATATTAATATTGATGAAGCCGCTAGGGCCCTAGTTGAAAAGGTAAGTACGAGACAGTTTTCAACTCCAGTCAATTTTAACTTACCAATGCTTTCCAGGTTCTGGAAAAAGATAGTATAATAAATAGCGAGAAAAAGAACGATACTTTTTCAATAACCAGAGACTCAAATGAATCGAGTGAAAAAAAGTGTGCATGTTGATTGTTGATGACAATTCCATTATTTCTATAACTATTTTATAAACACGTAACTTTAGTGTAGTTGTGTTGTACTAGCAAATTTTAATTTTATTTAGTGTTTTATTCAAATATGATATTATAATAATCCTTGATTTGAAACTGTATTTTTTTATTCTATTAAATATCAACCCAAGGATAATATTGGACCTGTTGGCAAAATATTAAAGATCAAACCTAATTTGAGGTTTGTTTTCAATACGCTTTTGGAGACCCGATTTATCGAAGCTTGCAAAATTCGGGATTCTGGCCGAATTTTTTTATATTTTCAGCATCTTTAGGCTCAGCTCATCTTCCAAACCTGGTAAAATTTTTTAACTTTTATCTCCTTTAGTTTAAAAGATGGCATTTTTAAGGAGAGAGTTAAGTAGAATTATCTATTTTGAAACCGATTTTACTCAGCTGGCAAAAATCAGGATTCTCCGCGATTTTTATGAAACTTCCCACACCTGTAGACTCAAGTTCCTTCTAACGATGATGATAATTTGAAATTGCTACTTGCGTCACCTTGCTTCTTTACTTCCGTTATGGGACCGATATTTACCAAGCTGGCAGCAATCAAGATTCCGCGCGATTTTTATTAAATTTTGAGCATCGATAGAGTTGAGCGTCTTCTAAAGATGGTGAAAATTATAAATTGCTATTTTGTTTGGTTTGGAAGATGCGGCTTTTTAAAGAGGAGAACGCCTTTGGGAATAAGCATCCCTTTTGAGACCGATGTTCATTACGCTGGCAACAATCAGGATTCTGGGCGATTTTAATAAAACTTTCAGCATCTGTAGAATAAAGCGTCGGCTAAAGATGGTGTAAATTTCAAATTGCTACCTAGTTTAATTTGCAAGTTACAATTTTTTAAAATACGGCTTGCAGTTGCTCATTATTTATGTTCTTTACCAAGTCATTTCATTCATATTATCCTGAGTTTGGAGCACAAATCACCCTAGAATATTGAAATATAGTTGGAGCACCAATCACCCTGATATTTTGGTCATGATTTGAAGAAAAGTACATTTTGTAGCAAATTTATTAAAAATTCGAATATTTTCCTTTTCCTAGCATGTGTTGTGTCTTTTTTTCTCTTAAGTTAAATAAAGAGAAACCCGCATTTTTCCAAACTTTTTTTTGCGGCGATTAATTCCTCAAGTGGATGATTACTAATTTAAATATTCCATCCCGTTATTACTTTTACAATTTATAAGTCTACGCTTATGCATAAAAATGACGATAAAAATGTAGTTCAGTGTCGGCGAGTGCGAAGACTGCGAAGTAAAATATTCGAGGTTAGTGAACATCATAAATGTCAGATATCCGGCTATCTTCATTATTGTGCTTAGCCCCTGTGTTGTGTTTATGAGCAAAGTTGATTTCATCTGTTACGAATGTTATTATCGAATTTTCGGCATGTCGGGGCCCATTTCGAAGAGCTGTTAGTGTCACTGTGTAGGCCTTAATTGAGATAATACCCTTAATACCATTTTAATGGATTAATGGCAGTTTGACAGGTGCCAGCTCACCCAAATATTTTTATTAATACGTGTTATTTAGTTTAAATAAGAAATTAAAGTGATAAAGTGAAATGGCATTCGAAGGGGGTGTAAGCAATGTCGAATTAACCCCATCGTTAGTGGAATCCTTGCAAGTTGACTTCAAGAACTTAGCTACTGAGTCCAAAAAGAAGTATCCCCAAGTCAAAGAGGTAAACAGTGTCCAAACAATAGTATTTTCCACAATTTTTGCAAATTACATGTTCCAGGCATGTGAAGAGGCAATTGGCAAGCTGAAAAACTCAGCTGCACAACAAAATAATGTTTATTATCTTGTCAATCAAATAATTTATCCTATATCACAAGGTTGTGAAACTAAAGATGTAAAACTCATTAAGGTAAGTTTAGTCACAGTTACATTATGGCTTGTTTATTGAAGTTCAATAAATGTATGCTATCTGAAGGGATGTATATCTCTTTTATCAGTCAGGCTAGTAGGCTTACGAGATAATTTGTTGAAATGCCCCTACTCATAGTCATACTTGCACGAAGTCAATTTTTCTGTATCAATATTAATGCGATATATTTTTAATCTAGTCTAGGAGAACTAAGGACTAATATCAAATATTGTTTATTCTACTATCTACATAAGTTTAGAAAAAACAAGTTCTGACTAATCAAATGCACACATTACAGATTATTGTTACTAGTGGAATCTTGATCGAGACATGATTAATATCCCGTATTTTATAATCGCAATATTTGTGCTTTTTTGTTTTTCCGTAATCGACTTATTGAAATAGTCACACATTTGAAGCCTTATTTGAGTCGCTGGAAGTTTTTTCTCCACTGTAAATGACACTATTTTTAGATTTGTTTGCAAGTAATACAAAAACTAATAACAAATCAGTTGATTGATCAAAAAGGAGCTGTATATGTTACTGACGCTCTTTGGTCACTGATGGAATCGGGTATTGAAGAAGTTCGAATTTTACAGTCTGTTCTCTTACTGCTTACAACCAATAAGGTTGTTCATGGAGAAACTTTAGCTCGAGTAAGTGTCTTTCCAATGTCAGTCACATTAACAAAGCCGATGTTCCTTTCTTTGCCATTTCCTCTGGTAATGATAGTTCATCCTCGAATTTCTTTCAGACTCTTGTGCTATGTTTCCGATTGCATTTTACAAAAAATTCGACCACAATAAACACAGCAGGTGCGACAGTACGTCAATTAGTTTATCTGGTTTTTGAAAGGGTAGTTGCTGAAGAGGAGCAACTATCAAACCTTGCAAATAGACCAGAAAAACCCCCAGTGAATTTTGAAGAATTAAAAGCGCCAAGTGGCACGCCACCAAAAGGACTACCTCCATGTGCGGGCGATGCATTTCTTCTGTTCCAAGATTTGGTCCAGTTAGTTAATGCCGATCAGCCTTATTGGCTGATTGGCATGACAGAAATGACTAGAACCTTTGGATTGACCTTATTAGAGTCTGTTCTAACTCAATTTTATTCCGTATTTTTTAAGGTTGGTTGGGTTATGGTATTGTGGCTCAAATAGGAGAAAGACGACTTTTTTTTCTAGTTTCCTGAATTTAGCTTTCTGCTGAAAGAAAGAGTATGTGCCCTAGTGATCAAACTATTTTCTCCTAATATAAAATATAGAAATAATGTGCTAAGTAATGTCCAGCAAGCAACCTCGTTTGAAAAGCCATATTTTCCCATAAGTATGAGGCTGTTAAGAGTTGTGTCCATACTCATACAAAAGTACCACAGTCTTCTGGTAGGTTTCTTATTAACTAACTAACTAATCTAGCAAGTACGCGTATTTTCATTACAGGTGACAGAATGCGAGATATTCCTATCGCTTATAGTTAAATTCCTAGATCCAGATAAACCTACTTGGCAAAGATCTTTGGCTCTGGAAGTCTTACATAGAATGACTATTCAGCCTGAATTATTAGTCTCATTTTGTGAATGCTATGATCTTAGAAAGCACACAACTAGTATTTTCCAAGACATTGTCAATTCCTTAGGTGCCTATGTTCAATCTTTGTTTGTGAGCCAGCAGTTACATGGCGCCGGTTGTAAGTTTCCAGTTCATTCGCGCTATGCACTTCTGCAATAATTTGCATTCATTTTTAGTGCCTGTCGCTCAAATGCAACCCCCTGTGTTTCTTGGAGGAATTCCTGCGGGACCAGGAATCTCGCCTCAGCCTGGTTTCCTATTAAGGGGGGTGTGGTTGCCGTTAGTCGCAACATTCCCAACAGGGCAATCAAAGTCTAATTAGTAAGTAATTGTTCGACGTTTTAATAGTGCGGTCTTTAAAAAACCTAGGGGTTTTTTTTAGCTTGGAGCTCTTAGATAAAGTGGAACCACCAGTTATACCTGATGGCTACGGGATTTCAGTAGCTTATGCGTGTTTGATGGAAATTATCAGATCGCTTCAGATTACGATAAATCCACAACCCCAACCAGACTCCCCAGAAAAGCAGGAAAAGAGTGGCAACAGCAAAGAGCTGAATTGTCAGTTGATTAATTCCAGTTGGTGTGGACTTCTAGCGGCTTTAAGCCCACTTGTGGATGCTAGCACGGATGAATCCATAACTGAGAATGTTTTGAAAGCCATGCAGACGTACACGTCCCTTTGCGGTATGTTAGAGCTACATACTCCAAGGGACGCCTTTATTACTGCCATTTGCAAATCGTCATTACCTCCTCATTATGCTCTAACTGTACTAAATACCGTTACATCTGGAGTTAACCTGCGACAGGGACAAGGAGGGGAGGTTCAGAATATGCTAATGCAGTATGGTGAAAACGATTTTCGACAGCAAGTCGTTGCAGTTGGTACTCCATTATCTACCTCGTCAGTACCCGCGGGAACCCAACAAGGTCCAGTTATGTTAACTGCGAAAAATCTACAATCTATGCGAGCTTTACTGAGCTTGGCTCATTGCCATGGAAGCATTTTAGGAACTGCTTGGCATTTGGTTTTGACCACTTTACAGCATTTAGTGTGGATACTTGGTAGGTGTTTTTCAGTGTTGTTTAACTGCAGTTTTGAATGAATTTTCTGTCAAAGGATTGAAACCTTCCACTGGAGGAAGTTTGAAAGCGGGGCGCGCTTCTTCTGATACAAATGCTGTGATTACCACGTCTGTGATGGCGGACTTACCGGTATTATCCATCATGTTAAGTAGACTGTTTGAGTCTAGTCAGTTTTTAGACGATGTAGCTTTACATCATTTAATTAACGCGCTATGCAAGCTATCCCAGGAAGCAATGGAACTAGCTTATTCAAACAGAGAGCCATCACTTTTTGCTGTGGCAAAATTGCTGGAAACAGGTAGATAGTTTACGACGCCTTGCGCTATTAAATTTAAATATTTGTCTCAGGTTTAGTCAATATGGCCAGAATAGAGGTTCTTTGGAGACCTCTGACAAACCATCTTCTAGAAGTGTGTCGCCATCCTCATATTCGAATGAGAGAATGGGGCGTGGAAGCTATCACATACTTAGTAAAATCTGCTTTGTCCTACAAGTATGAAGTTCCCCTGAAAGAGAACCAGAAGCTGCAGACTTTACTATTGGGTCCGTTATATGAACTTTCATCCGTGCCTCACGGCGATGTTCGACAACGTCAGTTGGAGTGTGTTTTGCAAATATTGCATAGCAATGGTGAAACGTTGTCGCATGGATGGCCTTTGATTCTGGGCATTATTGGCGCTGTCAATGACCAGCATGGGTAAGTTTTATGTTACTTAAAATAGCAGCTTTTACTGGATGGGATAATGTGTAGGGAAAACCTCATACGGATTGCCTTTCAATGTCTTCAGTTAGTGATAACCGACTTTTTGCCAGTAATGCCATGGAGGTGTTTGCCGCAATGCGTAGACACTGTCGCAAAATTTGGATCTCAAACCCAAGAATTAAACATATCGCTTACGTCAGTAGGACTAATGGTACGATACACAGCATTTTTAACCCGGAAGTAAATTTACGTAGATTTTTGCGAACATTTTAGTGGAATATTTGCGACTATTTTCATCAGAATCAAGGAAAACTCAGTCAAACGTTGATAGATGATGCTACAGTACTTCCAGATTTCCCGGGTACTTTAGATATGCCCAGCTTTGATAAACTGTGGATGTGTTTATATGCCAGATTGGGCGAACTATGCGTAGACAGTCGTCCAGCTGTAAGAAAATCTGCAGGCCAGACGCTGTTTTCGACTATATCGGCACATGGAGGCCTTTTAAAGCAAACCACTTGGCAGGTCATGATCTGGCAAGTTTTATTTCCACTCCTGGACAAGGTAAAGCGCCTTTCAAACTCTGCGAGCAGTGAAAAGGTAGATGCCGGTGGCAATATACTAATCCACCATTCAAGAAATACAGCTCAAAAGCAATGGGCTGAAACTCAAGTGTTAACTTTATCTGGAGTGGCAAGAGTATTTAACACGAAGAGACAGCTTCTGCAGGCTCTGGGTGATTTTGCCAGGGCTTGGTCCATATTATTGGAATTTATAGAGACCGCTGCTCTTAGCAAAAATAACGAAGTTAGCATAGCTGCACTGAAGTCGTTCCAAGAGATTTTGTTTTTGAGTAAAAACCAAGCGGGTGACGCTAAAGCTGCTATAGAGGACAAAGAAATTTGGTCTGTTGCTTGGAAAATTTGGATAAAAATCGGCACTGAAGCTACAGTTTCCGTTAAAGGCAGTGAAGTTCATAACAGCGAAGACTACTTTCTTCCAAGCCAAACTTTTCTCACTGCTTTAGTTCAAATTTTTCCCAATGTGTTTCAACATATCAAAAATGCATTTACATCAGAAGATCTTAGTCAGCTCGGGGTCGTTCTGACTAATTCAGTCTGCGTTCCTGTTTTCGGAGAAACCTCGCCCTATATCATATCAGTGTCGTCTGATGTCAGTCTGACGCCCCTTCATGACGGTGTCCTACATGCCATGGAATTGCTCCAAAAAGAAGCTCTGCAGAGAAACAACAATAAAATGATACCAGAAATTTTCCGATTGCTGCTGGTATTTTCAAAATTTACCTCCTCCGTTCCTAGCTATACCAAAATGGAGAATAAGCACACAAAAGTCAGTGATTGGGTAACCATGAATTACATTCCTTTTGGAGAAAAGGCCACTAATATGGTGGTTAGTCTGTATGAAAAAACCGCAGACACTAATGAAGTGATTAACGGCAACATACTGAAGGAAATTATAGCTACACTGCACACTCCTTTAGCTTTAAAATACAATTGTATATCAAGCAATGTATGGAAGTTGGCAGCTACTAGTTTAATCGCAGTGTTAAAGGTTGGACTAAAAGTCGCTAGGTCCCATGGAAACCAGTTTTCCAAAATGTGGAATGAATTGGCGGAGACACTTAATGACTTTTTGTTTCCCAGCAAGTAGGTTTCATTATTCTTTTGGTGCGACGATTTGCTTTTACATTTAAACTTGCAGTTGTTCGCCAAGTCCTGGTGAGAAGGCTTTAGACGAAATGGTGTCCGATGAACAGACAGACTGTCAAATTATAGAACTTCTCCGAACGGAAGTTCTTCCATATTCCAATAGCATACCAAAGGAATTCATACTTCAAGTGGTTATTTTACTTAACAAAGGTTCCATTCACTCGGCTACCAATGTTAAAAATGACGGAGACGTGGAATTAACCCTTCGGGAGGACTTTGCCAAAACTTGTTTTGAGACTTTACTTCAGTTTTCGCTAATTGATGGCGATTACAATAGATTGGTTGTGAGCAGTGATGATAAGAGCAATGGTTTAGCGGGTCAACTTGCTGTTACTTCATTATTACATCGCTTCGAAGAGGTGTTGAAAAAGTACATTGCCGATGAGAAACTTAGTGGAAAATGCCCACTTCCCAGGTTAGTTGACTCCCTATGTCCCTGTTTTTTCACAGTATCACTTTGAATTTCGCAGGTATCGTTTATCGGAAATTTCCTTCGTTTTGAAGGCTTTAACTACCCTAATAATTTCCATGAAAAAATCGTCAGCAGTGAAAGGTGCGTATGGTATTTTGGATTTGAGTGTTGTTAATTTGAACTGTTTGTTTAAAACATTTAATTTATATTTTAGATGATAATAAAGCGTGGGAGCAACTGATCTCGTTATATCCATACTTAGTTGAATGTACAACTACTACATCCACCCAAGTATCGAGGCCTTTGCGTGAGGCCTTGTTGCAGTTTTGTGACTTGCTTCAACCCCCACATAGTAAAAACAACAATGTAATCAAAAATTGAAATATATAGGCTGGGTTTTTGGCACAATAATTGGTTTTACAGTTTTTACAATTGTTGGTACAATAATTGTAAAAACTGTAAGCTTATTCCATTGCAAGATGAACCCATATTAGGCTGTGGAGCACTTAGACAAGGGTATATTTTGATTTCGATAGCGTGAATCAGTTTACGTTATGTGCTACACTATCTCAATCGCTTTCCGTTTTCAGTCGTATTTGGAGTTGATAGACATGCAACAAAAGTATATATAATTCGTGTTGCATTGCATGTTCATTTTTTGTACCTGTACCAAAAAAATGTATCACCCTTTAACTATACATAATCAATATAATGGACGAATGGTTTATCGTATATTTGAAGCATTCGTGTAGTTTTTACACCTCACAAGGATCATTCCAAATACTCTTCAATTTTTTTGCTGTTTCTGTTACGTTTGCTGCCTCGTTTAGTCGTTTTAGTTTAGTTAGTTCTAGATAGTAGTATTGGGGTCATTGCCATTTTCAAATATTTACAAATGGTTAGTAAACTAGAATTATTTAATAATTTATTTATTATTTATGAAGTGTGGTGGAGCTGGAACCGAAAATACGTTTTCTCATACAAAAGGCATCTGAATATTTTTGAATGACAAATTATATTGATAAATGTAGAAATATATCCTAGAACATATACTTGCTTTATATATTTCATGAAATATAGCGGTCAGATACTGGGTGTATATAATGTAGATAACCATATCAGAGATCTCTTTCTTAAGCGGCAAAAGTAATGGCTGGTAAATTAACTATATATCAGTTTTACATAATAAAAACCTTTCTAATATTTACTGTTCGCTATATTTCACTTCCAGAAAGTATCGCATTTTATTACCTTTCTTCTATATCTAATACCAATGATAATCTAAAGTTTTATGAGAAGCAGAGCGCTCTGATAACCGGAGAAGTACAAGATAAATTTATATTATATGATAGCTAGCGTAAAACATTCTAAAATAATCAGACATCTTTTGTAAGTTAAAATCCTCGTTAAATCCAACCGTATTAGTCCACTTCATCGAGAACCTATCCCAGTAATCTAGCCAGAGTATTATTAATTTTTAATAGCATTTTTGTTTCTGGTGCTATATTAATCTTTTTGTAAAAATGTGATTATCACTAGTAAATAGTGTTAATTTTGTTTGTATAAACTGTTATTGTAGTGTCAAATAGTCATTGGTCATATGAAATACATCGGTATTGTAAAATGAGTTTTTGTTTATCAATTTCACTACTTCGAACCACTCAATTCGAATTCACCTGAAAAAATGTTTCAGGCTCAATATCAGGAAATAAACAACTTTTTTCCTAAAATGTCTTTATTTTGGCACATGTGGTCGACATTAAAACATAGTTATTATGTTCGATTATATTTTAAGATTAATACCGTTAGAATCACAATATAACGTTTATCTGATGAGCATGATTTAACAGTTAGTTAGTACGTTCCTAAAATTACTGGAGGTATTTGGTAGATAATAAACGCTTTGAATCTGTTGAAATTCAAACAGAAATGTCGTTAAGTTTTTTAAGGTGGATTTGAAACTAATAGTTCCCTAATGGATTTTAGTCTGGTGGAAAAATTTTCGTCACTTCACAGCAAAGTTACGGAATTTACATTGCCGTTACCGAGCAGGTATAATCAAAAGCTAAAATAAATAGAACAAAAACCGGTATTCAAACTAGACTGAGCTAATTAAGTTGAAAAACAAAAGATTCAATTTCGAAACATTCGCAATATTAAAACGTGGATAAGTTAACGGAATGAGTTTTAACACTAAATGCTACACATAAAAGTCCTTTTTGATTCTTGGTAAATTCATTGCACCTGGTTCGTACTGAGTACTACTTCTCACTAACTTTGTTTTTCCTGACCGCTGAAAAATAAAATGCATTTTAAACATTTTTTACATGTACGAAAGTGAAAACTGCACTACGAAATAGAAGTAAAATAATACCAAATGTTTTTTTTCAAAAGCAACTAATGAGTCCCTGCATCCAATAAACTTCTGCACTTTGGCTGAAATTTTAATACGTAATTCCCATGCACTTACTTAATGAATACTGACTAGCTGGGTTAGATCTGTTGTCAGTGATGTTAACTAGTTAAACAGGAAGTTGTATAGCGTCTATCAACAAATAAAAATTGGTTAAAAATGTTATTGAATGAGTAAAACATGAATAAACAGTGCTGAGGCCTCGAACCAACCCGGTTTACACGGACGAACTAACCAACCACCTGTAGCTTCCCATATCAGACAAACTTGCATTTTTTACACAACTTACCATTTTCCTTTCTTTGTCCTTTCCCAGGTCTTTTCTGACTTGGGCTTTTCGTTGGGCTTCTCTCGCCTGAGATGCCAAATAATTGGGTACTGTCCAGAGTTTTTTCCCTGCTTTCAGAAGAGTCTCCATGATACAGCAGCAAACTGCGGCACCATTAATTTGCTTGGCCAGTTCTTCCTTAGTCACTTGTTTATCAATGAATTTTCGATTATCCCTAAAGGCAAAAACTGGGATTCTTTGCCATGCTTGTTGGTATTAGTTGATGATTTACCTGGGTAAAAGTAATTTTGGAGGAAAAAATGAGGGAGCAGTAATCATGGCCACATTGTGCAGTCCCATTCTGTTTTTGCTTTCATGCTCTATAATATTTAGGAGAAAACTGAGCACAATCCGGAAGGTATTCCGATGTTCGATCGGAAGCATTAAAACCAGCAAATTCAATGACCGAATTTTGTCCTCAATATTTGGAATAGCTACATAAAACAAGAAGTAAGCGGTGTTCTTAGTAGCAATCCATTGTAATACGAAATATACCTACATCCAGCTTTATAAAACATATCAAAGAGCTCCATGGTAAAAATGGGATCTGGCAAGTCTCTAAGTAATTTCTTAAGAGCTCCAGTCAGTTCGTGCACAGTGGCATTTCGCAGCAATTCCTCAACATGTGGTCGGCTATTGTAAAATTTTAACTCTATTTCCGAGCACAAAGTCTCCAATTTTTGCTTCTGTCCCGCTAGCCTTAAGATACCATCCTCGGTAATGCACCTTGTGTTCAGTTGCGTAATAAGGCACTGGAATATTACAGGTACCATGGAATTATCCGCTGGTGTTGGCATGTCACGCATTACTAAAGTTGATAAGTTTACTCCAAAAACGTTACCACCTAAAATGAACTCACATGCTTAAAATTAGCCTAGCTAAAGCTGCGTAAATTACCTTTGCTTTTTGTACTGGCCTTTTTCTTATGATAGCTTATTTTATACTGATCAAATATGGCAACTAATTCCACATATAACAGTGGCTTTAAATACTGATATTCACTATCGCTAAGTTCATCTACACACACTCCATCTTCTAATTCCCAATTCTAAAATCACAATAACTGAATAATAACAGATGGGGGGTAACTTCCGATTGCATACCGTTGATTCATTCTTATTATTTACTTCACTTTGCTTAATCAGTCCTTCAAAGCTAATAGCTTCATTTTCGTTAGGTTCGTTACAATGAATGTAGACGGTGCTACAATGATTGTTCGTTGTTACAATATTATTGCTGGTCCTGGTTAATTGAGTATGCAAATTTGGAGTATGTCCCGTAAATATATCCTTAAATTTTATTAAATAGATACAAGCAATTCTTTTCATTGCATCAACAAACCGAATTTTGCGACTTCAGAGGCTGCAAATGTACCTCTGTGGTCGGATCACTGCCACTTCGGCCCCTTAGAGGAAAGATTGGAGAACCACTTTCGGTAAGCGGCTGGTATCCTTTCAATACCACATTTTCTGACCCTAAGTGGGCAATATCTCCTTTGTTATCATATCGAGTGAACTTTTTCCCACCTTGTAAAGGTTCACTCGAAGTCCATTTTATTTTCGATTTTTTGCTTATTTGTTGCGTGGGTTCGGAGGGACTGAAATTCACATATCGGTTATTGATAGACATTTTTTCATGCTTCGAAAACTAATAAAAAATCCGCGGAATTTATATTTTAACACGTTACGGCTCAAGAAAATGCAACAGAAATGTTCCTTGCAGTGTGGATATTAAGATTGCCAATCAGGGTGTTTCAAATAATAGGTATACAACAACCTATGGATTATAATCAATCAGCTTAAAATACAATGAAGCAACAGCCCAATTGCCCAAAATGTGATAATCTTGTAACAGTAACAAATTATATATATAGTAAAATAGTCCAAATAAATCAAGACAAACATCTTGAACTTCCCTGTACCTCGGCAGCAGAGCAGTTGCAAGCCTAATTTATAGGAACGTTTCACCATCCTATTTCAAGTTGAATGATTATATAGCGGATGTTTCTTGAAAGACCCTGTATTTCAGCATATTTGCGCATTCAACTAAAAAGCTGACATTTTCGACGCAATTAAAACACCACATGCACCAGATAAAAGCCTTGAATCATTGACTCAAGTAACACTCCTATTAAGTAAACTTCAACAAAATGTTTTACCGTAGGAACGAAAAAAGAACCATTTAGGAACCATCAAACACACGTAACTAATTGAAAACCCATTGGAAAATGGTCTAATTCGCATAATCCAATTAACTTCGCAAAAGATAATGCAAATGAGTAATGAAGTATGCATAGTTTTCCGATGATAATACTGGTCAAGCTTTTTGAGCTACGGATAGCCAAGGCGATGGAAATATTATTACAGCAACCGCATTAAGAGTGTACAGAAATATTACATGTTGGATAGTTAATTTAGTAAAAAAGTAATTTTTTATATTTATTTAGAATTGATAAGAATTCATATGAATCCACTGCTAACGAATAAATTTATTTTTCTATTGAATTTCAATCGCAAAACAGGTTTTCTTTACTGTATTATCATGCGCCCCGTTCTGGCTTTCCCATCGTAAATATTTTGTTTGAGGTTTTTAACTTAAATAATTGAACAAAAATATATTCAGTCCGCTACTGCAATGTTGATTCATGAATGAATATGGAAGGTAGTTCTGAGCTGGGATCTAATAGGCGCCGGCCTTAATTTTTGTTAGGCGAACCTTGAGATCTACAAGCGCAGGCTTTGTACACAAAAACCATAAGGACGAGGCGTGAATGTTAATATCTTTTAATAAGTGAACGCTTATTTTTTTTTGTTATATCGGGAAACATCATAAAGCGCCTCAGTTTTTTTTAAAGAATTACACATGTCCTTGTATGCGTTGCAAGCAAGCAGTTATTAGCTAAACACAACACTATCACGTCTAACATACCCACGATTTCTATAGTGAAGGTTCATAATTTTTCGGAGTTTCCGGCAACACCCCCACTTTTTTGAGCACCAAAGATCAAAAATTTAAATTAATTCATTGATCATCTATTTGTGAATAAATATTTTGGTTTTGACAATCAATCGGACTTAAAATTTTGTTAGCAAACAATTAAAAAAAAATGTAAAAAAGTACTTACAATGGAGGTAGCGAGGATAATTGATGATCTTCGTCAGAAGTGAGATCTTCGTTTTGCGAATTGGGATTGTCCCCTGAATCTAATGAATCCGGTGTGGCACTTCTGGACCTTGTTCCAGTACTAGAAGTCTGAAAAAATACAAGAATGAACAACAAATTTTATAAAAGTAACAAATTTTTACCTCAACGTTCCAAGCAACATCTCTAACATCTTGGCGATGTTTTCTGCGTGGCTGACGACTACGCAGAGTTTTATTAAGGGTTGCGACTCGCGATCGAACAGTTTGAGCCTGCTTTTCAGTCAAATGACTTTGCCTGACTGAGTCTTTTACCACATTTTCCGAAATTTCATGCCCTTGTTGGTAAAGTTGATTTAGATTTGAAAGACCCGCTTTTACTAGAAAATCTGTGGCCTGTTCAGCCTCTGAGATAAAAAAAATATACCACATTAGTCACAAAACTTTTATTAAAATAAGAAAGATAAATGCGCAAACATGCTCTTATATTTAGTATTACGCCCTTCTATTTTCCGTTCATGTCTAGAGGCAAACGTAAAATTAACTGAATGTATTTATCCAAAAAATCACACACCACAGTAAAAAGATTAAGCACCTTATATTACCCATATTTAATCCCAGCCAGAAAATCACCATTATTTGCAACATCCATCAAATCAACCTCAAATGCAGGTCAAATATTGATACTTTATGTTAATGTCAATACAAAAACAAATCCGATAATACCAATAAATTGAAATTGAGGATTAATTTCTCTCATGGTAATTTAAGTATTTGCAAGGAAATAAGTACTTATCTTGGTTGACGCGGATTTTTATTTTCAAAACATTTTTTTGATTGGGCGCTTTGCCTCAAATTTGGTGTTTTTTGAAGACAGACAAAAAGTTTGCTAAAGTAGTCAATGCCGACCACAATTTCCTACCGTTTGGAATAAGATCCTCTAATTCTAACGTGTTGATATCATTTTGAGTATCTTTGACTTCATCCAAATAATATCGCAGAAGGTCTTCTGATTCCATAACTTAAAAATTTTAAGCATTTATATCGGACGATACATTCCTCTGGTCGTTGATTCTGAAAGAGAAAGTTTACGTGTGAAATATAATTAATAAATATTTACATATACAATATAATGGAAGTAAAAGAGTGAAAATCTTAACTGTGAGCTTAAATACCACGAGAATAATATACAATACTTATAGTTTTTGAGTTGGTGGATCGTTTATCGATGTTGCGTGAAATAGGAAAAACATAAGTTTTAATTTAACCAGAACAGTATCGGTGAACGAACGATTATTAAGGTCACTAATCGGGCTGATTTCTATAAACCATTGCTAAATAAAATTTATAAAATTATTTAGCAACTTATTAAATATCTGTATCAACGATAAAATTAACCTGGCGATTAACACATATCGTTCGATGGGGTCATTCAGTTGCAAAATATACATACAGAGATTAAAAAATCATTTTCACTTCAGTTAGGTGTTTGAACAAAAGATTAGTAGTACAAAAGACAAAGAGTTGACTTATTAAATAATCCGTATTCAATGCGATATTGTCAAGGATGAAGTATTTAGACCATTTCGATTTATCAATGAGCACAGCCATTGCGTAAAGTGGAACACCTAACCCACATAAAGGCAATTTCAAAACTCAATTCTAGAACAGATATTTAAGTTTTTTGCTTTGATATTGACTGAAGTAATTTTTGCTGCTTTTAGGCGTGTATATTTCTTTACAGGTAAATCTTGGAAAAATTATGTATGGGGTGAAGATTTTATCTGGAATAAATTCGCTACCGGGTGGGCGCATGATTTTTCTAAAAATTCCCAATACACGTCAGCATTTTAATGTATTCAACCACATAAACTAACATTTTTAGTTAGAGACTAAATCCGATTGGGGGTGGTTTATATTTACGCGTTTCATGAATTTTCAGAAAAATCACTTACCTCGCCGCTAGAGAATTTATTCCAGTTATGTATACAATGTAAAATGTGTGAATCATCCTTAAAGCACATTGTGAAAAAATGAATTGTTTTTCAAAGAAGACTTTGCACTGTTCAAATTTTCTCGATTAAAACTGAATCACTTTATTGGATTAACAAAGCGCAATTATTCAAAAATTAAAGCGTGGAAGAAACTGTTTTTGATGGCGTCATTCAATGGATCGTCATGGCAATTTTTATCTAGTAATAGCTTGGTTTTCTTTATTAATTTGTTATTATTAGTGAACTAAATGTAATTTCTACAGCTGTGTTAGCTTAATTTTCCTAGCAGACTGTTTATCGGCAAAGACTAATTGCGCAAATGAATTAACTGTAACTAGATGATTAGGTTACTCATGAGAGATCACACTTTTGCTTTAAGTGCTTGCAATTACAAAACCGAAATTTATCTAGAGAAAGTTGCTATTTTACTTGTGTATCTTTTTGCGTAAAGTAATTTTCGCCTTATCCTCCTTTACTAGGTCAGAAAATTGCTGGTATTATTTGCGCTATCTGGTATATAATGTAAAAACATTGAGATACGCAAAATAATACATACCCATGCAAGTACACAAGCGAAGCGAGACTTGTCAATGACTCGTTTCATTAATTATAACTACTGAACTTCAAATGGTTTCTAAAAATTTCGGGGTCACCTCGAGAAAGTGTTTTATAGCTTTTGGATTACCTTACTTGTACTTTTGCAACTGCTGATTCTTGTCGGCTTTTATTAAGTCTCAATAACACCCAAATACTTTCAAATCAACCGAAAATCCCGGCTTCTTGGAACAGTGATTCCTCATTGTTCAAAGAATTTTCCACAGTACATACTTACATATATAAGATTAAGATTAGGTCACCTGAATAGGTAGGTATATCCATTTTATTTATTTCCTCATGAAAACATTCTATACAGGGTTAGTCAGATTATACAAGCAGCATTTGCACAGACCGCCCTTCACTATACACCCTAATTTGAAATTAAATTTGTTTTGCATATGCAGGGTATCAACGTTTTTTAGTCTTTTAGTCCTGTTTCTATACACTTACCTTATAGGAGGATTTTCGATAAAAATAATGCAGTTTTCTTAAAATGTCAAGAGAGTTAAATCATACCAATGCTGGAAATAGCACTGATTAATATATTAGCTTCTTAGGACCAATTAGAGCACAATTTTCGCAGTTCAAAATAAAAAATTAACACAATTAGCGGCAATAGAATATGATACCACATGAAAGTAAATATTTGCCGACCTGTGATGCTTTTAAGGTCGTATAGATAAGGTATCGTTGGTTTCGATCATATCTTAACTATTACTGGTTTGGCGACAACAACCATGGAAATACCAACATAACGTGCATATATGTACCTATCTCGTGGTAGGTAAATAACCATTTTTTAATTTTTTTGAAATTCTTTAATGCAAATGAGCAAAAACAAAACTTTGGGTGTTGAGCACTTTGTCTTTCCTAATGGGCAACATTTCATTTAGTAATAGTTGTAGGCCGTTACACTGAAAGTGAAAAAAGAAGCATTCAGATGATAAATGGCGCAAATAAAATACCTTTATCGACTTAGCATCACATTATTTTTTTTGTTACCTTAACGTATGCATGTACATGTGTGTACCAATTGCACTTCCATAAAACACGTTTTGCTAGAAAACAGACCGTATTAGAACATAAAATGCAAAAATTAACTGTATAGTCAGATAATACGATAGCGATGTTTGCTCACATGTGGTGTTGCTGGAACGAATCATATTTCCCGCATAAAAGTTGTCTTTTTCATCGATTTTTTCAAGTCTTTCGAAAATACACAGATTTCGGTCCGATACCTCAACGAAGATTATAAAACAGCAAGTCTTGCTTGAGCAGTTTCCAGTTTTCACGCTTCCATGGTACGTAGTTCCGACCAATGATTACATCACAATAAAATTAAAACAAAAACCTACGCTCGAATAAAATTAAAAGTGAAAGGAAAAAAGTAGAAGAATATTCAAAATCATTAGGACTTAATCATCCATTAAAATTGCATGGGGAATTGCTTTAAATGTTCATTATTGATATTACTGTTTTTATTGTTTAGTTGAACGAGTTTCTATTTTCTGTTGTTATGTCGTGCCAGATTTATCGATTTCGTCCAAATTGAAATGAAGTGAACTCCACTTTGCCCAGTGTCAGTAAATTATGACAAATTAATTTCAAAGCCATTTGACTCGAATTGAGTCAACCCATTGCATTATGCAACTTGCTGCAATTCATTAGATTAGATACCATAGAAAAAAAATCATTTTTGTGCATGCATCAAATGCGACACATCATCGTGCTATCGTTGGAACATGCGTCAGATGTATTGAGAAAAGCTTATCTCTACTGATTTTCCTGCACACAATATTTCTGAAATTTTCATTCTAAACAGAGACCAGCTCAATTTTTTGCACATTTTCAAAATCTGAAAGAGTATGGACAGTTTACCATTTCGACACGGTTGTGGCTTCAAAAGTCTAACTTCCGCACAGGACAAAGCATCTGCTTGAAAATATCCCAGATTCCAGAAAACTCTTCAATATTCGTATCTTTAAAAATTCATTATAGACCGACCGTTTTTGCTCATTTCTCGAAAACAAAATGAGCAAGAACGCTCATTTTTACATCGTTCCAGTGAGAACTAAATGGCCTTTTTAGAATGTGAACCATCGATAAGAGAATGTTGGCAGTTTTCTCAAAAACGCCTTGACTTCAAGAAGTTTTAGATTTGCGTTTTTTTTTTAAGTTGGAAAATCGACTCAAACATGACGCTGCATTTTTCGAAGTTTCTCATGAACCATTTGAGCCACATAATTCGTTTTGCCATAGTTGGATATAGAATTGAAAACTCCATTCAGTGATAACAACAGGATTGAGGATATTCGAGTAGTTTTGACCCAGAAAGCGAAATTTGAATATCATACATTAGCTGTTTGATAATACTAACTTCCAAGCGGGATCTAACAGCAATTTTTTTAAATCTACCCTGAAAATGGACTGTTTCCCATTTACAACACCACTGGATGGGTACCTAATAGCGGCTTTTAATTTGATTTCAAATAGCGGCTTTTAATTTGATTTCAAACATAATTAGCATTGCCAAGTGTCTGTTATCGGTTGCAGTCGTAATTGTACATTCAAAACGAATAATATTGTGCATACATTCAGTGGAAGACGGGGTGACGACGAGTGGACCTGAATAGAAATGAGTCCTGGGATCCCAAAGGTTAGGCGTATCAGAATGCGGCCCAACAAAAGTCGAATTTATTGAATTAACATTGATTTGAGCCATCAGTAAATCGGCCACTTCCAAGCCGTTAATTGAATCGAGCAAATCAATCACGAAAATAAAATTTAACACTAATTTATCTCGTTCTAATGCTAAGTTAACAACGCAGTAAATGAATTAAGTGCATTTTAAGCCGTCGTAAAACTTAGCAAGGTTTATTGCCAAATTAAATTTAATTCGTAACACGTCTGAAAAATGATCTCTAATTAATTTTTTCTATTAGCTTCATTTCAAGCTTGTGGGATAGGAAAGTGGCAACCATGGCCACTCCTCTAGGTCTAGTAGAGATATAATAAATCTCATTTCATGCGCTTTGTTAAAGCCACATACATCATGATTAAAGTGTCTAACCGTTTTTCAAAAGCGGGTGGGCCTCGAATAGAAAATTATACCTTTTTAAAGAGAGGTGAATTCGCATGATGTAGCATAATCAATCGGAATACGAAAAATCAAACACAACAAACAAAATTTAGTCGACTTTTTGGGAAGACGCTCTATTACATGACTTGAAAAAATGTATTTTTATTTTACTTAACTATTTTTTTCAATTTTTGATTGAAAAGGGCAATGTTCCCCTAAAAAGAACATTATTTGGACACACAAGTGATGTTTTGTTTGCAATTACAGCAAAAATAAACTTTAACTTTTGAAAGTAAAAAATAGAAATATATAAAACTGTATTTTATGCAAAGGTATATAAAAAGAGTGTTCAGTTGGGAAACTTGAATAAGAGAAAAGTTTGACAATAAAGTGCTTTTTTATGATCGTGGCTTGTGGGTAACAGTAACAATTATGATTCATTGTAATATAAAATATGTATTTTATAAATTGCAAATACTTTGCTACAAGAGGGAGGTTTGAACTAAAAAAAAATCGGCAATTAACTAGTTTTGCAAAGTGGTGAATTTCAGTGAAAGAAACAAAACCTCATTTCCACAAAAAGGGGTGCTTTTTGTAATAAAGGTTGTTAGTGTAAGGTGAGCATAATAGTTGATAATTGATTTTCAAAAATGTATTTCAACAGTGTAAAATCAAACCGATAGTATGCCACATGCGTAACTTTTACATACACCCTGTATATAATCAGTTCTATAAAACCTGCCTTATTTAATTAACTTCATAATTATTTTGGCATTGCTTTGTAAATGCCAATCGGAAAATATCTTCAACTTACCTGTTGTTGTTCCTGTTGCTCCTGCAGGATTTATGTAATGTTGGGTTAGACGTCACTGCACCGAATTAATCAAAAAGGAACTTAAACTTCTTTGAGGCTTGATAACTGTTCAAACTATTTATACTGAAGAGCGGTCGAAATGTTGTGATACAAAATATAAATATTTACAAGTTTATTTGTTTCCCTGGAAGCGCATGAAAATAAATCAAAACATAAGGTTCCCTAACATTTACTAACACAGACGGGTTAAGAGACGAATTTTGATACAAAAGAAAACGCAATAAAACCTTGATGAAGCACCATAAACCGCCGCAAAACGAAAAACATCAGTACTGATTAAAACTCGACGTTCTTACTTCAAACTATCACTAACTTAGCACCAGCACGTATCTATCCAGGGCAACATTTAATTAAATTTTTCAGTTCATTTAATACGTCAACAAAATGTATTGAAAACAAAGCCTAGTATAGAAACGTCTGTTCGTTTCTCTGTTACAACTGCATCATTCCTATTTACTATAAAAGATAAAATTCGTATCATCCTTTGAGGCAGAGAAGGAACAACATATGGCGCTCTGGGGGTACCACCAACTTAGTCATTCATTATATTTAAAGAATTGTCATGTCTAAAACCTACTCGTTTCATTTTCATAGCTGAACGACTCCTCTGGAGCAACCAAGACAGAACATTCGTTATCACACCAGGTAAACGAGGAACGGTAAGCAGGTAACACAAATTATTCATTCATTATTTAGACCTCCCACTCTATTGGCAGCGCTCTTGCGGGCTTAGCAACCAAGCTTTCAATTTAGCGCCATATTCAATTTTCTTTTAGACTTTTTACGGTTATGGGATACAAAAATACAGACCAATAAGCCTTGTTCTATGATACAGACAAAGCAATTGCATATATATGTATTGGTACTTTTTACACTGAAACTATAAATATTCCATATTAGAAAACTAAATAAAGTTATCACAAACAAAATCCCTATTTAATAATGGTTTTTGGAGAATATTTGACATCGTTATAAAGCATGTTATCAATAACCGGTTGAATATCTTTATAGCAGTTATTACAATTGATGATACATAATCATCGGTTAGCATTAACATTTCTGAAATACTTACAGCCTGAAGGGTGCTAGGGAGCAAAAAAACGGGAATAGTCGGACGGATCCTGGCCGGAAAAATTGAAGGTGTGTGTCGCAGTAGAACACCATTTCTTACATAATAAAGCAGTCTACTATGGAAAACCATTTAAAGTTGAAAAAATGAGCGAAAAAAGTTGAAAATTGCAAATCTGAGCAGTCCCTAGTTAGAGTACAAAAAGCGTTCAATTTAGAGTGTAATTCACATCCGAAAAAGACTAATAATTGAATGTGTGTTCGCAGCAGAGCACCCGTATGTTAAATAATAAAGCAGTCTACTGTGGAAAACCTGACCATTTAAGGTTGAAAAAATGAGCGAAAAAAGTTGAAACTTGCAAAGCTGAGCAGCTACTTAGAGTTCATAAAGCGTTCAAGTTAGAGTGTAATTCACAACAAAAAAGACTAATAATTGATGTTGTGATAGCCCCTATTTTACATAGTAAAGCAGTCTACTGTGGCAAATTTGACTAGTTAAGATTGAGCAAAAAAGACTTGAAACTCGAACTGTTCTTATTGATAATGTGTATAAGAACCGTTTAATTTCATGTTTAATTCACGAAAACAAAAAGTAATTTTCTGGTTTTGGGCTCTCTGGATTTTGATAATAAAAAGTGACTTCCGTTGTAGATTATCCCTTTAATAACACTTTTTTCTTAGCGACATTTCTTCCGAAAATCCTTTTCAACGTCCTTTCGACGTTGGAAAGATCACCATTCTCCCCTGCTTGGGTGGCAACAGTTTCCAACTCATGATTTCTCATTGCTTTCTTCTGCTCGCAGCATTAAAGCGACGGAAAAGTTAACTTTATTACTGTGGTAATTTGGGCTTTTCGAACTTATGCAGCTTTCGGTAAGTTTTTATTCTCATATAAGCTTGCATTTGATGATGTTGCATACTTATAATAATTGAACTTTTCTTGCAAATTCGGTCTGTGCAGCGGTAAGAAAACAAAACGTTCTTTTAGCTAAGAAGCTTTCGGAATTTATTTTTTTTCCTTAATCATGGTGAGAAAGATTACAACATTATAAGAAACAATAAATCTACAGACTAACGAACAAGAAGGTCCGCAATTTTCAAAACTTTAGAACCCTTTGGTTTTTTTTAAATTCTTCTAAGAATGGAATGTAGATTAACGCTAAGGGAAACAGTCTTTGGTCAGCCCCGGCCCTTTAAACTTTATGTGGCAATAACATGAAAGTTCGCATGGAAAACTCAACTAATTTATTATTTACTTTTACTCATAGGTACATACTATATATTTCAATATTACACTAATATATTACATCAGGCTTGAATAGTAAATCCTGCTAAAAATGTATTTATAGCTCACCACAACTATAGATAGCCCCAAATTCCCAACCCTTTAGATCAAATCGGACAACACATACTATAACAAATACTGTGGTCTACTTGAGGTCGCACCATATGGGAAGCTCTCTTATTATGAGTTTTACGGATAACTTATATTTCAGAAGTTATCAATCAAAAATTTTATTTTCTGAGATACCCGGCATGACTGCAAAAAATTAATATATCTGATGGGTGCATTTTAGGTTTTGGACCAATTAGAACAACCTTTTTTAACAACATTAATAATAGAAAAGTTTGCCATATGCCGCGAACTTAAGCAGACACTAGATCTCAACCAGTCAAAGACGTGAATTTCAAAGAAGTTTGCAACTAAACTTCATTAACTATACTTGCAAATATATACAGAACAATTTTTCCTTTTTGACCCTTCTCGAATAAAACCAGATTAACTAAACCACCAGTTGCTATATAAATTTATCTATCTATTGTAGTACCTAATTACTTTTTTTCTGCCTATGCTTTCTTGTGTTGTTAATGTCTTCAACTAGTTGGTCAATATCATTATCGTAATCATTAACCGATCTATAATTGCTGGAGATGGGAATATAAGCACTCAAGTTCTCAATATTGAAATTCAAGTGCTCCTTTAAAAGATCCAAAACAATTTGAATATTGTACGCCACTATTAAAACAACAAATATAAATACTATGGCCCAAACAGAAGTCTGTTTAATGGGCTGTTCTTTGACGTTGGTTTTCGGGTTGAAATTGATTTCAATATATTTGAAAGAGGAATTGGCGTTAAAATACTCAATCAAAGGTCTACCTTTGAGGCTATGTGAAGGTTCCAGGTGAATAGAGTAGTCGTTATTGTCCAATTGAAGCGTAGGGAGATGGACGAGAATGCCGTGATTGCGATTTTTCTCAATTTTTGCATTAAGGTTGTCTATAGAAGTGGTGTAAATTAGCGAAGGATTGGTCGTCTCCCGGTAAAGGTTCACTTTCAAGAACCGATAATGCTCCACATTCTCAGCAACAATTTTCAGAAGCACGTCTGTTATCATAACCGGCCGGAAAACTTTAATGTGTAGATCTTTGGCATCTTCATTGATATTCTGAAAAATGACAATTCTCAGACACAATTTTCACATTCCTATAAACCCACCTTTATTAAAATAGACGATGGACTAGTTCTTTCCACCAAATCGGCTTGGTTATTTCCCACTTGAACATAAACCTTAAAGCTGCAAAAGGGCTGCAAGCCCCGAATCCTAAAAGCTCCCGAACCATCAGTATAACTTTCTTCAGAGATTCCCGTGCAATTTTCTATTCCTGAAGCAATAATGTTGACGTTCTCAAAAGCATCGTCATTTACTGTGGTCAATCTTCCAAAGGCGCTGAAAGCCACGCGCTTTCCACTGCAAGGGAATTATTTTCATTTACTCGCTCAGGAAATGTTTTTTTTTTACAACTCACGTCAACTGAATGTTAATTGTTTGGCCTTCTTGGACAGGGATTAATTTAGCGGAAGGCTCAAAACGGTACTCCTTCATCATTGGTCGCAGAAAATAGTCACTAGCGCTTAGTGAGTGGAAGGTGATACGTCCACTCGAGTCAGTTTGCAGGTTTCGCCGGAAACTTTGGTCGCCGGACAGAGACAAAAGAACGCCCTAGAATAAGTCAAAAATTCCAAAATGTGCACCCATAAATAATTTCCCCGGTTGAGGTGTGATTAAACTAGCACTTACTTCCAGGGGTGATTGATCATTCTCGTCCAAAACTTCAACGATAATCTCCGCTAATTTTTGAGCTATGAAATTACCCTGATTGTCTGGACCAATGAAAGTATACGACTCCTTTTGAGCGCTAATTTTGTACTCATATACCCCATCAAAAGGAGCGAATTTGTACAGGCCTTGAGAGTTGGTTTGCATCGACTCAATTTCATGAGTTAGCGTATTTTCTATGCTGATTGTAACGTCGGGCAAAGGAGGTTGAATTTGGCCCTGAAATACTTTGCCCAATACGGCATTGAGTTTGTCCCCCAGTTGAGCACAGTCCGAACTTCCTTCAATTTCAACACTCTCAGGGGAAAACCGTAATTTGTCTGATTTGGGAGTAATTGTAGCTGGTTCAGAAGGTTTCAGCATTAAACTGATTTTGTAGTGGTCGTTAGAAAACACGACAGTCTTTGAAACTTCTTCATTTCCAATACGTATGCTCAGGTCTATCGGACCATAGTCTCTTCCTGCCAGCATTTTCAGTTCAGTCAAGTGCTTTTGGGCATTTAACGTAATTTGGTTGCTTTCAGATGGAGCACTGTACGCGACTGTGTTGAAACCAAAGTCATGGCAGCTGCTTATTGAAAAGGAATATTTTCCAGGATGAGCGAGACAACTTGAAGTTACTCCTGCGCCAATTGGCACAGTTTCTGTCTTTCCTTCCTTTAATGTTTTGTAAGTTATCTGAAAACATGCTTAGTTTTACCCCTAAAAGACACATTCTAGCTTGTTGATAACGAAGTCATACCGTGGCATCATGTGAAGAAATGAATTGCAGCTGATACCCTGTCTGAATAAACGGCTCTATTTCCACAACTTCGGCGTTAATATTTACAGATTGTCTTGAGTACTTCCAGCAGATTTTGTTTTTCGAAAAGGCGACTTCATACACTCCCGGATGAATATCGCTACCCGAGTACAGTGCATCTAAACAATTCAGGATTATTGCCTTTTTTCGAGTAATTTTTGGTCTACTCACTTTGTACAGGAACTATTATATTATCTGACGCAGATTCTAAGATCACGTACAAGCCATCACAATCTTGTTTTCGAATACATTTCAATCTTCCGGAAAACGAAGATTTCAGTTGCGAGAAAACCAAACCCTCTATATGTGCATTTGCGACTTCAATTGTATGTTTAAGGGGGAAAAATCTAAAAGATATCTCCGATTGGTAGCGGGGTATTGATGTCTTATATGACAAAACTGGGCTACCTGATACTTACTGTATTCCATTTTCGTTGTCTTCATCGCCAACCTTAACACTCACTTCATACTGCCCGGGAGACAAGTATTTGCAAAATTCTGTTTTCTCATCGGTATCAGTTTCTACTAACATGGAAGACTGGGTGTGAGTAACGGAAACATGCTGGGGTTTGTCACTGATGACTTTGCCACATACTTTAAAAGCTGAAGGAACTAAATTGGGCAACTTCTGCATAGTTGTGTCTATATTCACAGTTACTTCATCAAATTTTACGTTTTCTGAAATTCGGTTTCAAGATAGTCAATATCAAACCAAGCAGAGACAAGTTTTATAATCACCTGCTTCTGCTTTGATACGATAGGTTCCTACTTTCAATTTTTCCAGCTTATATCCTCCGGTTTTATCACTTTTGGTGATTTCTTGTCCATTCAAGAATATTTTCGCGTTCGAAATGGGTTGGTTTTTGCCATTTGCCACTTCTCCCGAAATGGTGAACCCAATTACCTTTACAATTATACCATCAAAATATCAATATTTAAGACTAAAACGTTTAACTGTACCTGAAACTTCTCGCTTAACTGTACACTGGTATGTCCAATGGAAAATTCAATTCTTTCTGGCAAGTAATAGATATTTGCGTCTTTATAGTAAGGAGTAACAAAATAGTTTCCAGAAGGTATTACTGGGAAAACAAATTTGCCTGATGCTCCTGTAGTAACATGGCAAAGATACTGGTCTTTGCCTGACAAATTCGGCATTTGATTATTACTGCAACCTTCTACAGCTGTATGTTTTTCCTGTAATTTAGTCATTGGATTTCTGTTTTTTTTTTTAAATCAATACATGCCTTCTTTTGATTGAATAGCGCTATTATAGTGTTTTGTACAGGATTTCCTTCGGCAGTTAAAATGCTTCCAGTTACATCGTACCCTTGAACTAGTAAGCTATTTGAATCTAAGTCAGTGTTCCCTTCGGTTACTTCGACATTCACGGAACTCTTCAACAACTTCCATCTACAAATAATGGAGAACGAGATGCAAAATGCTTTTCAGGTTTACCGGTTCAGCTTTTTCACCTTGGATGGGATATTGATACAGAGTATGAACCAGGGAAAACCGGAGAAAATGAAAAACTGCCATCAGCAAGAGTTTCTGTGGTTCTTATTCCTTCTTTAGATGATAATTTCACAGTCACTCCTGATGGCCCCCCAGCTAAATTTCCTAAGCTGCCAACCTTGCCTGTAATACCAAACCCTTCAAACTTGAAATTAATGTCTTTTCCTTGGCTGCATGGATCAGTTCCATCAATGGTGAGACTGATTTCTTTAGGAGTAAAACTCCACCCAGGAGGTGGCGATAACTAGAAGGGATAACTTTGAAATTAGCAATTAAAACGTGAAGCTGATTAAGTTACCTTTAGTTTTAATTCGCCTTTATCATACAGGGGCACGAAATAGTATCCATTGTTTGGGGCACAGTTGGTTCTGTCTTTTACAATTCCTTGCTTTGTTACTCTATTGGAAAATAATTAAGCACTTTACTTTTTTGAATTAGGAGCTAAATGAGGAAAATTAACTTTAACATCTTTACCCATATCAGATGAGTGTTTCACTGATGGACTTGTGGTATTTTCAGGCCTGTTGTCTTGATAATATAATTTAAAAATATATTATACTCACAATTTAACCTCAACTTTGGAGAAATCAATGGGAACATGACTTTGAATAAATCCTCCACAACCCACCACATCATCAGCAGAAACCAGAGATGATAATTGTTTTAATAGAAGGATTATATAAAAGTATCTAATACACATTTCTGCTATAATTTTAATCACAAAATATACACATACAAACTTCACTTAGTGCTGATGGCCACTAAGGCAAGGTTGTCAGCTCAGTAAAAATTTCCTTCTCTTCGTAAATGCCCTTTATTACATTTAACAGGTAATATAATTATCCATATTGGATTTGATACTACTCCACAATTCTCTCAGGTATCGGTAAGCACTCCTAACCAGTGAATGGAGTCGCTATAAGGCATTTTACTTTAGAAGAACTTTCTAGGATTGGCTACACTGATCGCATTTCAGCAATACCAGTGTGGGCACTTTCGCTTAAATGTCACAAATTGTCAGCAATTTTGAGGCTAACATTAGTTTTTGAAAATGTTCAAAGTGATTATTGTTTTGAGTTCAGCTGCTTAGATTTTTTAAAACCATTACTGTGCTGCTAATAAAAATGAAGCCGCTAAACATATTTTTTATATCAGTTTTTGCCATTTATGCTACTCTTTCCAAAATTTTGTTTGATAAGGTTTATCGCACCTCAAATCTGATTGTGGATGAAGAGTTCCATCTTCCACTCGGGGAAGAGTATTGCAAATTCAACTTCCAAGTTGTAAGTTTCGTTTAAGAGTAACGCCGATAGTTTCTGTGACTGGGGACTATTTTTTTTAGTGGGACCCCAAAGTTACAACCTTGCCAGGCTTGTACTTAATAAGCTCCATTTTACTTGGCCCCCTTGAACTATGTTCTACATATTGGCTTCGAGCAGTTTCACTGCTCTTTTCTTGCGTGAACTTAATTCTCTTCTATATTATTTTCTCTAAAATAACGGCGGTAAGCAATTATATTTTCAATTCCACACCTTTTATATTAATGTTTTAATGCCTTTGTAGGGCGGATGGCAAAAGGTTTTTTCAGCTCTCATGATGACTCTTCTGCCTCCCTTGTATTTCTTGGCCCATATTTACTACACGGACACAGTTTCCTTAACTACCATCCTTCTTTTCATTATTTTACATGAAAAAGACTATCATTATGCTGCATCGATTGTTGGTAAGTTTTCGACAACTGTTTAAATTTCCTGAATGTTTCCCGTGCAATGGATCAATTTCAGGCTTCTGTTCTATAATATGTCGTCAAACCAATGTAGTATTTGTTGCCATTTATGGGGGCAAATACATATTAACAGAACTGTATGGGAGTTGGGCGCAAAAAAGCGCTCCATTGAGGAGAGCAGGAAGATTCCCGGTCAAAGTAAGTTCCCGATAACCCCCATAGCATCTAAAAAATTAAACTAAATTTGTTTTATTTTAGAATTTGAAGGCGTTTCTTTCAGATATGCTGACAAAGCCTTTAAAATCTGTGGCGGCTACTACAATTCAATTTTGGCTGAATGCTGCTTGTTATATCAGCGTCTTAATTTCCTTTTTGATTTTCTTGTTGATAAACGGCGGTATAGTTGTTGGGGACCGAAGTTCACACCAAATGTCGATTAATGTACCGCAACTGTTCTATTTCAGTCTGTTTTGCCTGGTTTTCGGTTGGCCCCATTTCGTTGGAGAAGTCTTTAATTTCTTGAGTTTCGTTAAACGCCATAAATTGTTAATTTTATTGGGCGCCCTGCTTGCGTTTATCGCGGTTCACTACAATACTGTGGTACATCCTTATTTATTAGCTGATAATCGGCATTTTATGTTTTATATTTGGATCAGATTTTATGGTAAATATTGGTGGTTTCGGTATGCGTTGATTCCCATTTACATGTTCTCGTTTTATGTAATCATTAAAACATTGTGGGATAAGAAAGATGTTAGCTTTTTTATTTTGTTCACTTTTGGTGTTTCTGTATTGCTGATTAGCCAAAGTCTACTCGACTTAAGGTATTTTTTCATTCCGTATATTATAATTCGTTTTAAGATGAAGAACGTAGATTCGGCTGTTTTTAATGTTATGCTCGAGTTCGTCACATACGTTGCCATGAATTTGTTCACTTTTAACATATTTTTTACCAAAACATTTTACTGGAGTGATAGCGAGTATCCGCAGAGAATTGCTTGGTGAAACTCAAACACCCAATGCAATGTTATGTATATAGTATTTTTCTATGACATATTTGTAAAAGTATGTATATTTTTTTAAAGACAAAGCCACGGAACGAAGGAACACACTGTTTTTTCATTACAAGTTTCCAGCTGTTACTTAAAAGGTTTGAACAGATATAAAGACTGTACTTGTTGTTACTTAACTTAGTTATTATTATTTTTGGTAAACGTGTTTTGTCGCCATTGTTTAGATATAGGGTAGTTAGTGTTTTTGTTTTAATTATCCATAAAGAAAAAACATTTTTAAATTTTGCTGTTTTTGTTCTAAAGTTCCCGGACTATTTCGAAACCTCTTTAAATCGTTTCCATTCCGTATTTTTTAGCTCTGGCAGTAGTGTGCGAATAGGAGCGGGACTTTGTTGTTTTTAGGTAAAAATTGCGCTCTAGTGATTTGCTCCCTGTTCAAAAATTATTTATCCGGTGAATTTAAAAACCTTGCTACGCCCCGTTTCGGATAAAAAAACCGTTTAATTTATAGTATCATTGGGTAAGTCCCTAAGGGTAGTAAGTAAACAATCGTTAATTAAAACACGTGCTTCCCACCTCTTCATTGAAATATTTTGTACTCTCACATGTTGCCACTATTCTTTTTCTTGACTGCCTTTTGAACTGAAAATTAAATTGAAATATTACGCGGAATGATTCGGTTGAAGAACAAGGAAATTGTTCTAAAATGTGCGTTAATTAGCTGCGGCAGAAACAATGGTCCAATAATAGAATAAATACGAATGATTATTATGGAATATCAACATGACACCCTTCGAAAAGTCTTTATGGAATCGCAGGAGGCAATTTCCAGAGAACGCGTATATTTCCATTTTTTCCGATAATTTTTATTTGGGAAAAACCATCTTTGCCCGTCGGTGCTAAATCTCAGGACCTTTCAACAACTAAACATTTTTCGGAAGCATACTCGAATAATTTCGCAGTTAAATCATTCATTTAGATTTCAAAAATCATTAAGGAACACTATGCAGGTATAAAATAAAAACGCTTTTTATAGGCTAATTTTGTATTAAAAATAAATTATTAATAGGTGCAACAGAACAGGCATTAGACTACTTATGTATAAAATGTGTATGATCTACATCAATATCACAATAGAAAAGTAATATTTGATTTAATCAACTTGCACATCATGGTCGGAGACCAGGTACAAGAACTGAAAAGCAATTGCTAGTAAAGTGATACCAAGCAAATCCCCAGCGGAAGTCAAGTATGGGATAGCGGAATTATCCGGATCGATCTTTTTTTTCCACATCCAATGAATCATAATATAAGCTACGTAAAGTAAGGTTGCTACTTGCATAATTGCTGCTAACAAATATACTACTACGAAAACAGAACTGAGAGATGTATCGCCATCCTTAATATAATCGATGGTGTAGATAAAAATTACATGACCGGGAATGACCATCGTCATTAAAACTCTGGTAGTTCTTGCGTGTCCATCATGCCCGCAAAAGGCAGTCATGGGAGAAATGAAGATTTTTTTAGCTTCATCTTCATCGTGAGAATTTCCCGAATTCAACATACCCAGTTCAGCCTCTTTGTGCAAAGCTGTGGAGATTCTACTTGACTGTACTGCCACTAAATTACCGCCAACACCATTTATTACCGGTTGAAAAACGGCGATTCCTTCAAATCTAAAAAACCACAGTTTCATCAGGTTTAAATTAAAATTATCAATCGCCTTTGTCACCTGGAAACCATGAAATCTAATATAAGTCCACCTATAGAACTGATAAGCATCGCTCCAACAACAGGAGTCCATCCATGGAAAAGGACTTCTCGAGTTTGCGGGTTTTTTTTCGCAATCCATACCCATAGCGGAATAGCTAAAATGTATACGGCAATAATCAGCGGTGCCAACCAATCTTGCTGACCTACAATCGGGTGATTATTGATGTTGCAATAAATAATTTACCATGCATTTACCAATAGAGTCATATAAAAATGTCGACACATAAGAGAGCAAAGTTAACGATGTAATGTCTCCTAAACTAGCGGCAATAGGCGTTGCTACATTATCTGGATTAATTTTACAGTGTCGTGAAAACACTATAACTCCGGCAGTAATTAGCCCTAAGACGAAGCTAGCAATTGATACAGTGATCAAGCTACTAGCGCATAGAATATAGGCATGATCCAGTTCTACTTCGTTGCTTTTTATTCCACCCATAATAATAGCGACGAGCGCACCAAGAAAACCGACCACAATAGCTTGGCTCTTAAAAATTGAAAAACTAGTTACGTTTCACGGAAATTGTTGCGAAAAATTACCTGAATAAGCGTTAAATTTCCGACGATAATACTGATTTTCTGCTGGGTAGTGTCCATATGACCCAAGTTCGCTTGCGTGGATAATCTGGATGCGAGGGTCATTTCCAGATTGCCTTTCAGCCCCAGCAGAGCTGGTATTAGGATGACAAGCTCTGATATTTCTTCAAATACTGGCCAGTGCTAAAAACGGCCAACTATATAAAATGTTTTGGCCCTTGCAAGTCTATTTTTACCTGTATTCTATCCAGAACCAGTCCAGCAAATACCATTCCAAATCCAGCAATGAGAAATGGTATGAACACTTGAATCGCGATGGAAAAGAAAGTTTCTTCGGCTTGAACATCTTTGACGATCTCCTCAGCCACTTTAACGGGTATTTTTCCATTGTCATTTTCATTGTTTTCTGATTCTGCTATAGTGGCTACCACCATTTCTATTGTCGAATGCTCGAGCCCGCAGTTTGGCTCAGAGGATTTAGGACAGTTGGGTGTTTGTATATGGTTGCTGCTGGCCATGTTTCCTCCATCGCTGTCTTTGCTGAAAGGAAATTAATCTGGTTCTTATCAACACTTGAGTTAACTCTCTACTTTGAGACGCTTGGGTTATCTCAACACTTCCAAGTTGCCTAATATGCAACACAACTGCAAAGCGATTAAAAAATAGTGCGAACGAATTACCTGCTCATTAAACTGGCAACACAAAAAATTAATAAGTTTGCGGATCATGAACTAAATTCATTACATTTTGTGTGGCTGCTACCGCATATTCAAACAAATTAGTTGCAGCGCTATTGACGAACGCACGTTCGCTTTGTAATAATGTCATAATAAAAACTAAAAACATTGATATTATGATATAATGTAGTTAATTGATTAGGTACCAAGTCATAGTCGGCGAAATTTAGCATTTGTTTGCATATTAAATCTTGCTTTTTATATACGGCACGTTGACTCGACGTATACCTACTTTAAATTTGAAAAAACCGCTTAGTAGCAGGCCAAACTACATTCAACCATGGTCATTTTCTACTCTCACCTACCACTTTAGTTGGGAAATTCCGCTTAAAAAGCAATATTTTTGGCTGTCCACGTGTTCTTTTTAAAAAATGTTTGCCGATGCGGCGGACGTTGTTTAAATGACTACATCGTTTTTCAGACTGAATAAAATACGTTTCTAGCTGTGTCTCGACGTATCGATCCAG